CTGCAGTATGTGCTTAGGGGTCTGTCTTTCTGCTTCACAATCACAGGCAGCAGATTCTTTTATGCCTATCCTGTACAGGTGTGCTCGAAGAACACAGTATCCTGTCCGAAGTCTAAACATTGTTGTTTGTTCTTTCCTGTTGAGTTTGTTTATGCTATCACTCTCTGGTCTGTAATCTCTATTTTGCCTTCTCCACTCCCTCTTAAAATACTGCTTTAGTGCTGTTTTGGTTTCCTTGATGTGTGGAGCTACCACTGATGCGTGGAGTCACCATTTACGTGTGAAGTCACCACTGATGTGTGGAGCTACCACTGATGTGTGGAGCTACCACTGATGTGTGGAGTCACCATTTACGTGTGAAGTCACCACTATTGTGTGGAGCTACCACTGATGTGTGGAGTCACCATTTACGTGTGAAGTCACCACTGATGTGTGGAGCTACCACTGATGTGTGGAGTCACCATTTACGTGTGAAGTCACCACTGATGTGTGGAGCTACCACTGATGTGTGGAGCTACCACTGATGTGTGGAGCTACCACTGATGTGTGGAGCTACCACTGATGTGTGGAGTCACCATTTACGTGTGAAGTCACCATTTATGTGTAAAGTCACCACTGATATGTGGAGCTACTACTGATGTGAGAAGTCACCATTTATGTGTGAAGTCACCACTGATGTGTGGAGCTACCACTGATGTATGGAGTCACCATTTACGTGTGATGTCACCACTGATGTGTGGAGCCACCATTGATATGTCGTAAAACAGGAAAACCTGTATACAAAAATCATTTGCTTCTTCTTCTTCGACCCTTCACTGGAGCTGTCCAGATCGTCCCGTGCAACTTACAGATTTGTTTTGATTGAGCACGGTCGGCTCCAGCTTTAAATCCTCTTCTCACAGAGGGCTCGGACTGAGGTTGGAACCGGCCAGATGAAAAAATGCATACTTAGTAGCATACAGTCTACAGCAACGGTTCTCAGCCTGTAAGTCGCGACGCCTTTGGGAATCGAAACGATCCTTTCATAGACCATTAGAAAACACAAATTCACTGAAGTTATAAAGTAAGAACGAAAATAATTGTACGGCAGGGGGTCACCACAACACGAGGAACTGTATTCAAGGTTTGCAGCATTAGGAAGACTGAGAACCACTGGTCTACAGTGTCTCAGTAAATGCTCAGCCTTTTCTGGGCTCAAGCTGCAGGGACACGTCTTCGAAACCGAAAAAAAAAAATTATAAATATTGGTAAAGTATGTTGTGCTCTGTCCAAAGTCTGTTAAAGATACAATGACACTCTCGAGAGAGTCGACGAAGAGAGTCTTTGAAAGAAAATTCATTTCTGGTGTCCAGACATCTTTCTTGTATACTTGTTTTTGTTAATGTCCTAGCCTCTTGGTAGGCTAGATCTCCATTAGACTGCACCTTATCTCTGCCAACCCGTCCGCTATTTATTTACCTTCCAAACGACAGTGACCTGGAATCCATTGTAAGACAGTTGTCCTACCGAATAGTCTGTGTAAATCGGCTGTTGCGTCAAGTCTACAAACTGCGTCTTTTCTAGGTTAACAATTGCTGGTTGAGCAGACTCAAAAAGACCACTCTGATATATTTCCTGAGCTGTGATTGTTTTCTTTTGCAAAATGATCTTCTTAACCCATTTAATGCAATTTTTGTTTTCTAAATGATTTTTTAAATATGAATGTTCTCGGAACAATTATAGTCATTATATGGGTGTTTCTGCAAACTGTGTTGTTTTATATTAGTGTTCTTAGTAATTTGTTTTATTTCGTGCATGTTTTTTTTTAGTAAAATGCATTGCTACATGCAAGTGTTCTTTGCATAAGTAATGTTGCATAATGAATACAAACTTATTAGAAAAAGCACAGAGAAAATCCTGACATCTTCCCCTCAACAGTTTGATGAAGTATTTGAGGAGGAGCAGGAGGAAAAGATGACAATGATGATGACGATGATGATGATAACGATGACGAAGAAGAAAATGGAGAAGAGAAGGAAGAAGAAGAAGAAGAAGAAGAAGAAGAAGAAGAAGAAGAAGAAGAAGAAGAAGAAGAAGAAGAAGAAGAAGAAGAAGAAGAAGAAGAAGAAGAAAAAAAAAAAAAGAAGAAGAAGAAGAAGAAGAAGAAGAAGAAGAAGAAGAAGAAGAAGAAGAAGAAGAAGAAGAAGAAAGAAGAAGAAGAAGAAGAAGAAGAAGAAGAAGGAAAAGAAGAAGAAGAAGAAGAAGAAAAAAAGAAGAAGAAGAAGAAGAAGAAGAAGAAGAAGAAGAAGAAGAAGAAGAAGAAGAAGAAGAAGAAGAAGAAGAAGAAGAAGAAGAAGAAGAAGAAGAAGAAGAAGGAAAAGAAGAAGAAGCAGAAGAAACAGAAGAAGAAGAAGAAGAAGAAGAAGAAGAAAAAGAAGAAGAAGAAGAAGAAGAAGAAGAAGAAGAAGAAGAAGAAGAAGAAGAAGAAGAAGAAGAAGAAGAAGAAGAAGAAGAAGAAGAAGAAGAAGAAGAAGAAGAAAAAGAAGAAGAAGAAAAAGAAGAAGAAGAAAGAGGAGACGAAGACGATTTGTTTTATTTTATAATACGTTTGTCTTATGTTGTATTAAGTGGAATTTATGCAAAGGGCATTTTTTCATATAAATTTTTTTGGGGGGTTGAAGGTATTGTTATCACTACCACCCCCCCCCCTCCCCCACCCCGTTATTTTGCAAAATTTACAGTATTGACATACATGTTTTTGCTACACACACACACTCACACAGCCAGAACACACATGAATGTGACAAGTTGAAATAACAAGATAAATTAGTGTAGGTGGAATGCAAGTAACTTCTCTTGGCTGAAACACAACAATACACGAAGTTAGAGAGATTAAATGGAAAACTTGATAGCAGAGGTAATGAAACTGGGAGGAAATAAAAGGAAACAATAATTATAAATTTAGCAAAGTCTATATGGTTTGCACGTGGATTTTTATCGTGGTATGGGATGTCGCAGGTCGACCCAGCTTCAAATGGGTACCAGGATGGGCTGTCCTGGGAAAGTAAAGACGGCCGCCGTAATGCTGACCACATTACCCACCGAGTGCCGATGGGTCTGTAAAAATATGGGTGCTCTTCCCATATGCCCGATGCGCCTAAGGGCGTGTAAAGGGATCTTTACTTTACTTTTATATGGTTTGCAAGGACATACATGATGCGTCATAAATAATGATAAAATTATGTTTGTTAAACGGTAGTGATGAGTGTACGTGAAAACGTATATTTGTATATGTAACGCCACTGGCATAGCTATGGGCATAAGAGATGGGAGAACGTGATGAATTAAAGCCGAAAGGCTAAGGCTTTCGTATGGGAAATTTTGTTGTTGTTGCCGCAGACAGAAACACACACACACACACACACACACAAACACACGCAAGCTTACCGAAGATTCAAACCTGGTTCTTCCTCAAGAGAGACCAGCATTTGTAACCGCTCAGTCAGCTGACCTTTGCCTATAAATTTTTAAATCCACCCCCCCCCCCTCACCTTTTCCCAGCGCTTTACAGATTTGCAGTATATAGAATTAACAACTCAAAGATGAGAATCAAACAGCTACAAATTACGGTACCCCTGTTCAGTCCTACAGCCATATAGAACAGTTGTATTGGGACACAATAAAACGATTTTTAAAAGTTGTAAATGAGTGTAAATTTATGTCTGTATGCATAGCATTGCCGTGTGTTTCTGTCTGGTACACGTCGTTACATGCGTTGCCGTGTGTTTCTGTCTTGTACACGTCGTTACATGCGTTACCGTGTGGTTCTGTCTGGTACACGTCGTTACATGCGTTGCCGTGTGTTTCTGTCTTGTATGTCTGTCTGTCGTTACATGCGTTGCCGTGTGTTTCTGTCTGGTACACGTCGTTACATGCGTTGCCGTGTGTTTCTGTCTTGTATGTCTGTCGTTACATGCGTTGCCGTGTGTTTCTGTCTTGTACACGTCGTTACATGCGTTGCCGTTTGTTTCTGTCTGGTACACGTAGTTACATGCGTTACTGTGTGTTTATGTCTTGCACACGTCGTTACATGCGTTGCCGTGAGTTTCTGTCTGGGACACGTAGTTACATGTGTTGCCATGTGTTTCTGTCTGGGACACGTCGTTACATGCGTTGCCGTGTGTTTATGTCTTGTACACGTCGTTACATGCGTTGCCATGTGTTTCTGTCTTGTACACGTCGTTGTACGTGTTGCCGTGTGTACATGTTTGGGTGTTGGGTCTGTAGTCTAGTGTGGGTGGGTTGATGAGGTGGGACTTTAGAATTTGGGTTAGTTCGACGTTAGTCTCCCCAAACAGAGCAGGTCACTTTTCATTCACAAGTTAGTTGGGCTGGTCGACTTTCTTAAATGTTACGGGTGTGTCCCGTTCTGTTGTTTGGTTTCTGTGATGTCTTGCATTTACTTCTTCATTCCAAGAAAAAGAATGCTTGTGTCAAATGTTGCAGCACTCTCCAGGGAGGTTGTGTTAGATCCATTTTTTCCATGTTTTTGAAGTGTGAAAAGCGCTGGCGTGCTGAAATATACAACTCGCGATATCAAAGGCATTGCGGAACACCCCAGTAACCGTGTGCGAAAGAAGCGGGGCTCAGGACCTTATAATCAAAAGTGAGCTAGTGTGTATATTGGCGGGGTTTGGGGAGACTAACATCGAACTAACCCATATGTGTTACGCCCTCTGTGTAGTTCACATGATAAGAAATGCAATATTTTCAAATACAGCATATAAATTTAACGAGACAACATATATTAATGTAATATTAGGCAATATTTTACGTCCTTCATTTCTTCTGTGCTGAGGGTGATGATATTTTCATGGCTAGATCTTCTCTGTCTTATCTTTTGTCTCCATCACGTTCGAAAGAAAAAAGGTTCTCCTTGCTGGTGAAACGAAAGTGTGTGGAGACAATAAGATACCTCTCTGACACAATGCAGGGGAGATCAGCTGCAGAAAACTGATGGTCTATCCACTGAATTTGGCGGTGAGAGTTGCTTTTTCCTGAAGATGAGAAAATATTAATGTCATTTCTAATAATACTTTTATGAGGATATTCGTGCTTTTTTTTTTAGCCGACCACAAATGACATCACGGAACAGTCCACTATTTTAGAGGGGTGTTAAGAGCGGGGTTTTCGTGTTTCCTTTTCTGTGCTTTAGCGCGTTTCTTCCAAGGTCAAGGTTTTCGAGCGTTAACCTAGCCATAACCTTAACCCTAGCTCTAACCCCAAACCTAACTTTACCAAAACTATACGCTTAATCTACCACCCCCTGAAATGTTTGAAAGTTCCATGACCCGTGGATTTCCATGTTTGTGGTCGGCGAAAAAGAAAGTACCGGATATTCGTCTTCGGGATTGACTTTGGCTCACATGTCGACCCAGCCAAAAATGGCTTCCTTGCAGCCAGAATAATGTGAACAACAGCACCATCGAGTGCTGAATAGTCTTCACTTACCAGTGGTTCTCAACCTTCATAATGCCGCGACTCTTTAATACAGTTCCCTATCCCTAATGTTGTGGCAGCCCACAAACAATTGATTTCTTTTATACTTGCAATGAATTTATTTTTTCTGATTGTCTTGGGCGACCCCAGGGTCGTTCGACCCCCAAAAGTGTCGTGACCGATAGGTTGAGAACCGTTGCTCTACATAAATATGAGTGTTGCATTACGTGCTCGGTGCCCCTCTAGTAAAAAGAAGGGTCCTTTATTTTACATTACTTTATTTTACTTTACATTATTTTACTTTACATTATTTTACTTTACATTATTTTACTTTACATTATTTTTCTTTACATTTTTTTACTTTACATTATTTTACTTTACATTATTTTACTTTACATTATTTTACTTTACATTATTTTACATTATTTTACTTTACATTATTTTACTTTACATTATTTTACTTTACATTATTTTTCTTTACATTATTTTACTTTACATTATTTTACTTGACATTATTTTACTTGACATTATTTTACTTTGCATTATTTTACTTTACATTATTTTACTTTGCATTATTTTACTTTACATTATTTTACTTTACATTATTTTACTTTACATTATTTTACTTTACATTATTTTACTTTACATTATTTTACTTTGCATTATTTTACTTTACATTATTTTACTTTACATTATTTTACTTTACATTATTTTACTTTACATTATTTTACTTTACATTATTTTACTTTACATTATTTTACTTGACTTACAAATATAGTTTTTACACGGTAGTTAGTTTAGCAATGTTGTTGTTTCAAATACAGCTACTATTTCAATTTATCCTTGCTTCCTCTTTGTTTCTACTCCTTTCTGCTAATTCGTTCCGAGCTCTCACTTTTTTCTCTTTCTACTAGTTAGTTAGTTGGCACCTTTCCGTCTTCCCAGACTATAGTGTTATACTGTACTATGACGAGGCACGGGACTCACAGCCCATGGCGATGACGAGTGTAACTAGCAAGACCTACCTGCAAGACTCTCCGTACTACAGTCACTGCTGCAGCTACAGCGTAACAAGCACACCACTGTGCTCCTATCATAAAACCATCACCCCCGCCTCTACTCCTACCAGACAATCACCACTTCTACGACCAGACCTGCCAACTCATCAATTTTCTTTCCCATTTTATAACTTCATGTGTACAGTATGAGGTAACCGTAATGTTAGAAGGAGTACAGCACTTAAATAGTCAGTAGTGGAACTTTAGTAGCAACGGTGGTGGTGGTAGTGGTATTAGTAAAGGTGGCTTAAGTTGTGATTGTAATAATATTAGTAGTGGTAGAAGTAGTAGTAGCACTAGAAATAGTAGAAGTAATAGACGGAATAGTAATATAAGTAGTGGTCGCTGTAGCAGTGGTACTAGTAGCAGCAACAGAAGTAGCAGTACAGTAGTAACAGAAGTAGCAGTAATAGAAGTAGTAGTAGTAGCATCAGTAGTAATAGTAATAGAAGTAGTAGTAGAAGATGTAGTAATAGTAGTAGTAGTAGTAGTAGTAGTAGTAGTAGTAGTAGTAGTAGTAGTAGTAGTAGTAGTAGTAGTAGTAGTAGTAGTAGTAGAAGCAGCAGCAGCAGAAGAAGACGATGATGATGAAGAAGAAGAAGATAAAGAAGAAGAAGAAGAAAAAGGAGAAGAAGAAGAGTTAACAGGAGAAGAAGAAGAAGAAAAAGAAGTGTATACAGCAGAAAGCAGATACTTGGAAGACCTACATTGCCAGCTTCATCAAGCAGTTTCCAAATGCACGAGCCGGTGCCAAAGTTGAAGTTGTCGGCCACCTGCTCGTTGTCTGCAGTTGTCCTGTCCTTGACCCCCTTGGCGAACAGCTGGACAGATTTTCAACACAATGTTAGGCATGTGGATTTTAAAAAAATGATCTTTCTATTATTTAATTTAACAGTGTTGCGTATTTTCAGATAGCCAGAGTGGCCTGGGATTATCTTTTCCTCTTTTCTTCTTAGCTTCAAACTTATCTCTTTTTTTTTTCTGTTTGTCTCTCTGCCAGTCTGTCGTTCCTTCCAGTCTGTCCCAACACCCCTTCCCCTTCTCCGACTCAAATACAAGTTACCCGAGGGAATGTTTTGAACCCGTGAAAAAAATATCAGAACATGATTCAAGGTTATTTATCAACACAGAGTACAAAGGCAAATATAGTTAGTCATCATTATTATAATCGTCATCGTCATCATCACTATCATTATTACCAAGTACTTCGCCGACTGGCGTGGGCGATCATACCTTTTCATAGCCTACAATCTTCAACATCATGTAACAGTTCATGCGCTAACACTCCTCCATACCATGATAATCGACTCAAGAATCTTCTTACGTTGCCTTCCCCAGTTTCTCTCCCCTATATCTTTCCCCTGCCCCCCCCCCCCCATCTTTTAATAAGATGACCACAAATAACGAGGGTCTCTTTCTGATGTTTATGATACGTTCTCTTAGGGTCCTTCTTTCAGGAGGACATGAGACATCACCGGAAACACAAACAGTGAAAGCAAGCGACCCATCGACAGTCTCCACACAACGGTTGTCGTGTGTGGAAGGGCGATCACTCTTGAGCTACTTACCAACTCCCCGTGTGGACACCCAGGCTCCATTTTGGAACATAAAGATCCACTGCCTTCCTTCAAGCAAATTAGAAGTGGTTTTTTTTTCAAGCTCGGAGTGCATCTGCACGGGAAAAAGAACCTACAGTCTGCATACAAATAAGTCAGATCTGTAAAACTGATGTGCAAGCGAGATTTAAGCTCTGGAACAAGAACGAAGTCCAGAAGTGTTAACTTTTCATTGTAGTTTACAGCCGGTAAACGCGTATAAAAAGAAAAAGTGACTTACTGTAAAAGATCTGCCTGACGGCAGCTCTACGTCCTTGAGTACCACAGACACGGTCTCTCTTCCGTTAACTACTTTAACCACTCTCCAGCCTTTCAGGATCTGGCTCTGTGGAAGTAGGCAATCAGTCAATGAAGCACTCAATCAATCAATCAATCAATCAATCAATCAATCAATCAATCAATCAATCAATCAATCAATCAATCAATCAATCAGTTTAGCAATCAATAAATCAGTCATCCAGGAAACCAACCGATTTTTACAACAATTTTAAGAGGTGCACAGTTTCGATACCAGTTCTTTATCTGGAATGACTAGCTCTGCATTTCGTCATTTAAGGGCCAGTTGTTATTCTATTAAAGTGTGGCTTAAGTACAATATGTTAGGTATCTGTAAAGTGGGGACGACTGACTACCTGTGCCCCCACCCCTAATTTATGACTACCACTGAAAGGTTAAACGATCACTGCCACTGAAAGGTTAGACGATCACTACCACTGAAAGGTTAGACGATCACTACTACTGAAAGGTTAGACGATCACTGCTACTGAAAGGTTAGACGATCACTACTACTGAAAGGTTAGACGATCACTACTACTGAAAGGTTAGACGATCACTACCACTGAAAGGTTAGTCGATCAATGCCAATGAAAGGTTAGACGATCACTGCCACTGAAAGGTTAGACGATCACTACTACTGAAAGGTTAGACGATCACTACTACTGAAAGGTTAGACGATCACTACCACTGAAAGAAAGGTTAGTCGATCAATGCCACTGAAAGGTTAGACGATCACTGCCACTGAAAGGTTAGACGATCACTACCACTGAAAGGTTAAACGATCACTGCAACTGAAAGGTTAGACGATCACTACCACTGAAAGGTTAGACGATCAACGCCACTGAAAGGTTAGACGATCACTACCACTGAAAGGTTAGACGATCACTACCACTGAAAGGTTAGACGATCACTGCTACTGAAAGGTTATACGGTCACTACCACTGAAAGGTTAAACGATCACTACTACTGAAAGGCTAGACAATCACTACTACTTAAAGGTTAAACGATCACTACTACTGAAAGGTTAGACGATCACTGCCACTGAAAGGTTAGACGATCACTACAACTGAAAGGTTAGACGATCACTGCCACTGAAAGTTAGACGGTCACTACCACTGAAAGGTTAGACGATCACTACTACTGAAAGGTTAGGCGATCACTACTACTGAAAGGTTAGACTATCACTACTACTGAAAGGTTAGACGATCACTACTACTGAAAGGTTAGAGGATCACCACCACTGAAAGTTAGACGATCACTACTACTGAAAAGTTAGACGGTCACTACCACTGAAAGGTTAGACGATCACTGCTACTGAAAGGTTAGACGATCACTACTACTGAAAGGTTAGACGATCACTACCACTGAAAGGTTAGACGATCACTGCTTCTGAAAGGTTAGGCAATCACTACTACTGAAAGGTTAGACGATCACTACTACTGAAAGGTTAGACGATCACTGCTACTGAAAGGTTAGGCGATCACTACTACTGAAAGGCTAGACGATCACTACTACTGAAAGGTTAGACGATCACTACTACTGAAAGGTTAGACGATCACTACCACTGAAAGGTTAGACGATCACTGCTACTGAAAGGTTATACGATCACTACCACTGAAAGGTTAAACGATTACTACTACTGAAAGGCTAGACAATCACTACTACTTAAAGGTTAGACGATCACTACTACTGAAAGGTTAGACGATCACTGCCACTGAAAGGTTAGACGATCACTACAACTGAAAGGTTAGACGATCACTGCCACTGAAAGTTAGACGGTCACTACCACTGAAAGGTTAGACGATCACTACTACTGAAAGGTTAGACGATCACTACTACTGAAAGGTTAGACGATCACTACTACTGAAAGGTTAGACGATCACTGCTACTGAAAGGTTAGACGATCACTACTACTGAAAGGTTAGACGATCACTACTACTGAAAGGTTAGACGATCACTGCTACTGAAAGGTTAGACGATCACTACTACTGAAAGGTTAGACGATCACTACTACTGAAAGGTTAGACGATCACTACTACTGAAAGGTTAGACGATCACTGCTACTGAAAGGTTAGACGATCACTACCACTGAAAGGTTAGAGGATCACCACCACTGAAAGGTTAGACGATCACTGCTTCTGAAAGGTTAGACAATCACTACTACTGAAAGGTTAGACGATCACTACTACTGAAAGGTTAGACGATCACTGCTACTGAAAGGTCAGGCGATCACTACTACTGAAAGGTTAGACGATCACTACTACTGAAAGGTTAGACGATCACTGCTACTGAAAGGTTAGACGATCACTACTACTGAAAGGTTAGACGATCACTACTACTGAAAGGTTAGACGATCACTGTCACTGAAAGGTTAGACGATCACTGTCACTGAAAGGTTAGACCATCATTGCGACTGAAAGAGTCACTTTCAGAAGGGACACTTCTAGATACCCCGTTCATCCTTCATCTTTTGCTAGCCTGTTGCTTATGCTGTAACGCGACGCAGAGAGGATAGAAGCAGTACCATGTCCTTTGCCAGTCGCCTAGCTTGTTTTAATTTCTGATTTCGTATCTGAAGTGTCTCTTTGACTGCATCCATCTTTACTTTCTATGTCGGCCTCTTGACTTGTAGCCTGCTGTTCCCATGTAATACGCTCAAGCTGTTGGCCGATTTTAATCAATTCGGACAGATAACCAAACCATTTGATTCTTTGATGTTCTATGAAATTATTTACCCGTACTGTGTCTACTATTGTTCTTAGTTATTGGTTGGTGGTGGCGTCTCTTTTTGTTTTCCCCACCGCATTTATTATACATTTCATCTCACATGTTGTGATTTTGTGTTTATGTTTTTCTGTGACTCTTCCTGTCTGTCATTGCTAGCATGAAGCTGATACGAACATTTATCAACTGCTTTTTTATGTACGTTAATATGTCAATGTCTCAAAGTTGCGCTAGTTGGTAAGTTATGTTGTTGGCTTTTTGTATTTTATTGCTCTGTCCAATCCTGTATCTTTAATTTGAAAATAATGTTTAGGTACTTAAACTCCGGAGCTTGCTTTAAGGACTTTCATTCAATAGGGCTGACATGCTCTTCTTCTTTTGTCATCTCACTGATACCAGGTTGTAGTCCACTGTCGTGGTTTTGTCGTCTCGCTGATACCAGGTTGTAGCCCAGTGTCGTGGTTTTGTCATCTCACCGATACCAGGTTGTAGCCCAGTGTCGTGGTTTTGTCGTCTCACTGATACCAGGTTGTAGCCCACTGTCGTGGTTTCGTGTATTTGTCTTGTTCTTCTCTGGTTGCTTGTGATTGATATGTTCATCTTTTTGCAGGGTTCAGCTACACCATTTATCCATCTCTTTCGTGGTCTTCCTCCCAGGGGATCTAGTGTAAAAAGCCTCATTTGCAGTCGGGTTTGGCTGCATTCTCACTAGATGGCTGAACTATTTCATTCTTTGTCTGTCAATATAATCCAGACAAGGTTTCATTAAAACGTTCTCTCTAATGCTGGTTTTCGTAATCCTGTCTCTTCTTGTGTTGTTAGTGACCTTGCGGAGACAGCACATTTCACATGTAGAAATGTTCTGTTCTAGTGCCCTATTTATGTCGACGTGCTAAACCTTAAAAAAAAAGTTATAACCGGGCCATCCACAACGGTCACAGCAGGTACGACATGTACACTGGTCTACCTTGGTGCCTGAGGTAGGCAAGGTTTTCAATGATGTTTATAAAGGACATGTCGGCTCTGTGGCTAAGTCGATGCGAACCCTTCGTAATGCCGGGGTGCCGGGTTCGATCCCAGCTGCGGGCCATGCGCCTTGCGTTGGTTTCGACAGTGGTATCAGGGAGCCGACCGTCCAGAAGCAATGACAAACTACTGAACGTAAGTTTTCCTAGAGAAACCCCACAACAGCCAGGGACTGTTGTGGTTGATTTTGCAACGTCCTGTAAAGGATACGCAACTAACCTAACCTTAGAAAGGACAGAGTGACTGAACCTGGTGGCGCAGGCACTGTTAGTCCCCCCCCCCCCCAACCCCCTCATGAATGGATGGGGGAGGAGGGGGCGGAGCTGAAGTACGAAAGTTTCATTTTTTAAGTTTATACTTATCAAAATTAACCTTGGCTCCCATGTAGTCCCAGTCTTGAGTGGGTACCAGGGAAATGACCTGGGAATTAAAGGCGGCTTGCCTGATACTGACCATTTCACCCATCTGGGGCCGATTGGTCTATACAATGAAGGTGAGGACAAGGGTCCTTCACTTCCTTACTTCTAATTCACTTATTGGTTTATAAATTTAACATTGTTTCAAATATCTTATTTTGGCGCAGTTCACGTTTTCAGGTCTATCCACACACTGGCTGACCTTTCATGTATACCTTCGCAGAGTTTTCTATGTCGGAGGGGTGTCATGTTGTCTTCCCTCCAATTACATCAGCGCTGACGTCGCATGTTCTAAACTACACGATGACACAACTTCCAACGACCCCTAGAACATTTAGAACTGGCCCTAACCCAACCCCCAACCCCTCCCAACTCACAGCCTGAGCCTAGGTCACATGTGAGACCCTTTTCGTTGAAAGCAGTACAGCATGACTCCCCTCTGACCTAGATCAGACTGAGAAAGTGTGTAGATGGGCTGGGAAAACGTTAACAGATTCCTTATTTTATATATATATATATATATATATATATATATATATATATATATATATATATATATATATATATATATATATATATATATTCTCATTTAGCGCCCAGTAGCAAACAGCAGTATTCATAAAATTTTGTTATAAATGAATGAATTAATCAAGAACTGGCACCATTGCACTCGGAACATTCCCACACGTGCTCAGTCTCATTCTTCAGTAATCAGCGAAGAGTCGAATAACAAAATATTATTATTGCTCACTTAAAGATACCTTAGACCCTTTGAGGATCCACTGTAGAAAATCCTCGCCGACTCTAGTTATCTGGAGAAGCTGGTGTAGGAAATTTATGAGGGTAAGCTCAACCAAGCAAACCCCCCCCCCCCCCTCCTTCCCGCCCCCCAGAAGCCAAGAGTTGTTAACCCTTAGGCTCGGTATTATGGATATCGCAACCCTTCGGCCATGATTCCATGATAAATACCGTAAATCTGGGAGAAATGTGGCTTTTCTGCCTACCCCTGGGAGTGAGCACGGACCACAAGGAGTTCGTCATCCGGTCACCGCGCAGTCCGGTTTAGCCTACTACGCTAGAGAACCGGGCACACGAAATGTTTAGTGTGTGTGTGTGTGTGTGTGTGTGTGTCAGCGTCCCTGCGTAAGACTTACCCGTGCACGTGCTCCGGATGTGGTGTTCTCAAGGACCACGTTTCCTCCATTGGGGTCGATGGAAGCAAAGGATAAGGGTCCCTTGGATGTCCTTTGAACTGTCAGACTGCCACTGGCCTCTCGCAGACCTGAAGGATACCAAAAGAAACACCATTTATAAACTGTACAACACGCAGTCACAACAAAGAGCTTACTTTCATCATGTGCCGTGCCGATAAGTGTAGACAGTCACGTTTCACCACGCTGCACTGTGGTGCACATATCTAAGAGGACACGTTGGGCGTATATTATCTAACACATTTCCGCGCTGGTTCTGCGGCCCCAGTTGGGAGGGGCGGATAGGCCCACGGCCCCCTAATAAGCATGTCGTACAAGGCGACTAAAAAGTTTTTTTCCTTCGAAGTCGATTGGATCTGACTGAGAGGCAAGGAGAAACAAAATAGTCTATAAATAAGCCAGATCTATAAAGTTATGGAACAAGACCAATGTCTAGATATGGACGAACAACCAAGACCTTCCACCGGAGTTTACAGCCTATGGACGCTAAGAAGAAGAAGAAGAAGCTAATTTATACTTTCTAATAAGACTTACTTGATGAATTTGGATCAGAGTCCACTTATCGTCCTAACGTTTTAAATCTCCACTGGCTAGTTTGTGAGAAAGGGACAACCTCTGACCGGTACGGGTCAAAAATCAACAGTGTGCATCTATTGAAACGAACGATCAACGAATCGATGGGTTCGTGAGAACAATAGGCGGGACTTTCTCGCTAGCCTGGGAACTCAAGAATTCACACATGCCTGCATACTTTGGCGACGCAATGAATATTCTCAAGAAACGCCAAGCTGGCTTCATCCGACAATAATAGATTCTTTCACTAATACATCAAGAATAACTCGCATAACCTTTATCTGTATGCAGAAATATGTGGGTGTTCGAGGCAACGACAGTGCAGGTTATCAAGCTGTTGCTGGGGACTGAACCAGGACAATCGCCCTAATTACTATGCCACGGCGATTTTCACACACTGTTTACATACAATAATCAGATCATGCATAAGAAGAAACACATACCGGGTCTCCATAAGTTTCCATACATAGAAAAATAAACATAAAAACCATTGATTCTTTTATATTACACACACAAACACACGAAGAAGAGGGCTGGAAAGTGAAGGTTAAAAGATAGGGAGGACATAGGAAGACATGCATGCGATAGCAAAGGCTGGAACGAGTTGGCGTGAGTGAGTTAAAGCCTACGCTCAATAGGCGGTTAGAAAGGCAGAAGAAGACGTGAAAAATATACATGACATGACTACCGTTGTTTCAAAAACAAATTTCAATGGGTGTTCTGCATGCTGAGTAACACGTATAATCACAAGTGAAGTTATGCTTGCTTGCATGGTGTTGGTGAGATTTGTCCCCCCTTTGTATGGAAGCTTATGGGACACCCTGAATGTAAAGCCAGCCATACACATTCAACAATACAGCCATTTTGGAACAACTAAACTAATAAGGAAACAAAATTATCATGTTGAGATTTTACTATGATAGACTTATGTATTCGTACCGAGATCAGGCCAGGGAGACAGAAATCAAAGTCAGGCGAACTCCACTAGGAACAGTATCTATGCCTTGAGGTATTTAGGATGCATAGTGGTAAAAGTAAAGATTAAGGTAAGGCAATTAGGAAATGTAGTGGTCAAAGTTAAAATTAAGTTAAGGCAACTAAGAAATGTAGTGGTAAAAGTTAAGATTAAGTTAAGGCAACTAGGAAATATAGTGGTAAAAGTAAAGATTAAGTTAAGGCAATTAGGAAATATAGTGGTAAAAGTAAAGATTAAGTTAATGCAACTAGGAAATGTAGTGGTAAAAGTGAAGAATTAGTTAAGGCAACTAGGAAATGTAGTGGTAAAAGTAAAGATTAAGTTAAGGCAACTAGGACCGAAACGCGCAGATATATCTGCTGTCGCTATAAACCCTTCCCCCTCCCCCATCTGTTTTTAAGAGCAAACGCAGGAAAAGAAAAAATGTAGTACGAGTATATACATTTGTATTTGTCATGTCTTTGCATAATTTAAACATAATGTTTACCTTCATGAAATCAAGATACGTCTCAAAGGCATAACAGGGGTGGGAGTGGAGGGGGGGGGGAGAGTTAACTGGAGCATATTCAACTCTTTCAGCCACACACAGACCTGTGTCTTTTAACATTTCTTTTATTAAACAGTTGTTACCTAAAGTCATATTTATTTAATTATGAGATGGAATCAAATAAATAACACTTTGAGATAAATAGGACATTAGTAACAACCGGAGCAGAATGGGTTAAGGCTACAACGGGATAGTATAGAAGTAGTTAGGGGAAAAACATCTAGATAATTCCTACAAACGTATGCGGAGATGCTATGTGTTTAAAGAGTTAAAATGACAAAATCGACAATTCTATAATTTAGCAATTGCAAGGGTGTGCAGTGCAGCATTTTTGCAAACAAAACTGCATGCCGGTGGTAGCTCAGCAGACAGCAAAATGCAAAAAATAAATACAAACAGTTAACGGCTATCTGTGATTTCTGTACTTATGGTAACAACATCAATATTAACAATAACAATACACTAATAATGTAAGCGAAAATATCGTTTCTTATCTGAGAAACATGGTTGGCACAAAACATTCTCTTTCACTTGTAAACAGTATGGTCACACAATTATTTGAATCGTTAATTAAGAATTGTCTATTTTAGCCAGCTCATGACGTCAGTAAACGACCCAGTTCCGAGTCCTCAAGTGCAGTATGCGCATTTGGTTAGAAACATCGTTTCATATATAAGCTAACATTGGATATAAAGCTTTAAAACAGCGAGTGAGTGACGTTCAAACTAACCAGGACCACACAACGATCGATAAATACCCAGTGACACATCCATTCGGATGAGAATCACCCGGGCACAAGTCGTAGAAACCCCGTTCAACAGTTTGGTTATATTAGGTAGGACTCTCACAGACAGCGGGGGTGGGGGCTTTAAAATAGCCATGCACAGAAAAATATGTTTTCCATGTTAGGGCAAGCAGGTAATAATTGATTTCAAACAATCTTTCCTGTAACTAGGTATCAGTTTAGCCCCTGACATATCTTCATAACATGAATTCAGAATTTGAAGAATGTATAACAGCTCTCAACTCTCTCTTTAAGGAGAACTTGATTCATGGTGTTTCGTCCTTTTTAGGACGAAATTTTTTGTTATTTGAAGCCCCACTCTGGCTTTCGCCAGAGGCCGCAATATAGGCAGGCCATAAATATGGCCAATTGTCTGAACGCGGTTTCTGGGACCTCTCCAGGGCGATCCTCATCCACATGGTGGCACATTGTGTCATCGGGTGTTTATCGCTTGTGTGATGTCCTAGTGGGGTAGAAAGTCAGTCAGTCGGTCAGTCAGTTCCTGGAGCTGTGCCACTATTTGCGCAGGAAAGAACAATAACCAAACAATGATCAAAATAAGATTTACAATTTAGTACATTATTAAACAGAAAAAAATAAATAAATAAGAGTCATACACACACGTGAACTATCATCTAGTTTTAAGATATAGCTCTGCATATTTATTTAACTAGCCAGTTTTCTCGCATGCACATACTAAACGTAAAATGTAGTAACAACTTAAAAGTTATTTGGTACAAGCAGACAACAGCTGATTCCACACAGTGCAATAGTTGAGACAAAAACAGTTTAAAATGCCAGTTTGCAAGTTAAAAAAAACAACAACAATAAAATATGTTGCATGCAAGCTAGGCTAAATCTGGCAACAACCATGCACATACGTCTACAGAGGGGCTGTACCGGTTTGTGGCTAATGTATGACATTATATATATATATATATAAATATATTATATAATATATATTATATATATTATAATAATGGCGTATATTAACATATTGATAGATACCAGCATTTTCCATATTTAACACAATATGCTCTTTTACCGTTTTATATTTAGTCAGAACACGCTCTAGAAATCTATGTTCTCAGATGGGTACTATCAATATTATTAAATCGTTTTAAAAGCAATGCATTATTGCTTATTAATCATGAATACATCATCAATTTGGCATCTCCTAATCTTCTATGAAACCGTCTTCTGATTTTTAAAACACGTCCTATTACATTAAAATCGATAGTTATACCAGAAATACATTTTTTCGTCTTCGAAATGTCCCCGCTCCAAGATGGCAACCTCAAGACTGATATCCAGTGACTCAAAGTGTCACTTTTTGAGTTTAAACCCTAGAGTATCCTAGGTCCACTATTCGATAGTATGAAATAGTTATATTATGCATTCTTCAGTTACGTAACAACATATTGCTCTAGTTTCTGGACTGCATCACAATAACAAAAAAAATAAACACCTATAAGCGCATACGGATTTAGGACAGAAATACAAATGTAAAACAGTCAGTGTTATAAAACGAAAGATGAAAATAAATAATAAATAGATAGAGTTAGTCGTGGAAAGTGTTAATACTTTATATTTTATACACCAAGCAAATCAAAATACGTTAATGGCTGTTCAAGCAGCATTCTAGGATATTTTCTTAAAATTTAGATTCACCTGCATCCTGGGTATTAATTATTAGGACTGGCTTGCCTATTGATGATGATGATGATGATGACGATGATGATGATAAATATATTTGATGTTATGAAAATACAAAAATATGGAAAAGATTTTTGAAAAAAAAAATAACACAAAAATATATAATAAATAAAATAATATCAAACATATATTCAAAAACATAGTACATAAAGTTATACAAATACAGTGAAATATGAGGTTATGCAAAGATAAAAATGGAGTCTTGAGGTACACACTGACATACACGCGTGATAATCGTAGCTCTTCACATTTTATGTATAATAACTTTGTGATGTGGAGCTACCAGACCCCCCCCCCCTCCCCTCCCCCCAATTCCACTTCGAACGATTTCCAGAACATTCTAAAAATCGCCCATTTAACGGGATCGGGTAGGCCCCAAAGCCGTATAACTGAGAAACAAAAACAAAAAGCCACTGTGCGCATGATTAAACCAAGTCTACAACGTAACATTTATGACCACTAACTACTCTACCAC